TTGATTAGCCCGATTTACACTTTCGTTTGACGCATTTGTCGCGCGATACACGCAGTAGCCGAAACGACACCGTTAATTAGTCCGAAGTGCACTTTTCTTGTTACAGCAGGCCTCAGGGGTGCTTCGTGGTTGAAATCTACCCGTGCGCGACAAGTAAACTTTAAATGTTTTAAGTCGAGCTTTCGAAAGGCTACCGCGACGATAAAATCTATATAGATCGGCCTCCTGAGTAGACACAAGCAAGCGTATATTATATTCAGTGGACTCTACTGTGTACCCCGAATGGTAAGTTAAGCATTCTCGTTTAGCTGAATAAAGCCGCTTTGTTATTGCCCGTATTGGCTACGCTTTTAAATCGAACTGATTCATTGAAATAAATAAGCTGACCTCTAACTATCCACCGAAAATACTAACATCATGGTTCTAGTTGTCAAAAGCAGATTTTAACTACAAACAGCACACAACATTTGCGATTTATTGACGGACCACCTTGTCATGATTCTCTGATAATAAAGTACGCCAATTATTTGACATAATAGGCATCAGTTTGTGCGGTATTCAGCACGTAGAGTGACAACAGCCTAAAGCTGGCCACTCAGTGCAAGCCACAATGACTATATGCACTTAGGATTTTATAAAATACTTAAATGCATACCTAAAGTAGTACTGACAGACAACAAATGTGGAATTCATTCCTGGGAAGATATTATCGCACTGCTTCGTCGCGCAGCCTAATTGGTCCGAATTGTGCCAAACCATCTAGTGTTGGTGGGGGAAAAGTCAGAAAAATGTCAATAAATATTGAACTGTTAAAGGTATTTAGTTCAAAAAATGAATACCTCGCAAGCTCATTGACTTATTATTTTCTGCTAGGGGGATTTAGAAAATGTGTTTAATTTAGTTGCTCAAATTGTCGCAAATTCGCAGCCTCGGTGGGAGCCGAACCCGCACAGCAGGGATGGCTTTTGCGCAGACAACACTCAACCATTGAGCTACGAGGCTGAACGTGGGCCGTGATTTTAATCACGCTTGGATCGATTTAACCCGCCCAAATTACCGCTCGTATGGAATTAACAATAGCGCAACAGGAATCTCATTCTCCAGGCAGGATTTTCTAAGCGTCCATCCATTATCCACCGCAATGACTCTTAGACTCACGTAATTGTTAGAGGGGTTTGACAGAGTTGCTTAATTATAATTACCTGTGCTAATTTAAAAAGTGAATTTATGCACTGGTCATCGAAACTGCAGTAGTCAAATCACAGGTAAGTTTTTGACAGAGTGTCTTAATCGAACCAAAAGTTTAAAGGCTTGGATTTATTGTACAATTAACACCCGTGCTCACAGCCGAAAGCCAATTTATAGTATTTTTATGAAATCATCGAGATATTCTAGCAACTGCTTTGGATGTTTTTCTTAACTGTGTGTTTCAGAATTACGATAGACGACTACATGTCATTATTTTATGAGGTAAGTGCTCGTAGAGTTAAAAGTCTGGATGCTGTGAGCCTTCTTAAATAAAAGGCATTTGTAATTGGTTCCATAGCACAATCTTTACCCTAATGTATCAAATGCAACGTCAGGACTTCTAGCAGCTCGCACATTTTAGCTTCTTAGAGTGTTTAGCCAGATAATGTGGCCTTAAATAAAGCCTAGCAAGTAAAAATCAATAACATTGGCTTTCTTCATCTCTCGAACCTATACAGTTATAAGATTGATCTACCAAGTAATGCTTTTGAGGTCTTTCTAGAAAAAAAGTTTTTTTGTGGATGATGGTGTTTCCTAAAATACACAAAAACCCTTTTACCTGTGTGTAGTGTCCGCAAACTTTCGTGCACTGGTTTGTTTTGTATTTGTAATCGCGTCTCTCGTCGTGCCACATACGCTGGACTTTCATAATGGCTTTTTTTCCAAACTGATTTCCCGTCACACCAATATTTTGGCCGAATGGTTGAAATTCCCTATTAGACGGTGGCGGATGTTCAAACACGCACCTATCCGCCCATTTTTGCGCGAAGCTTTCCAGAGTTAAGTTATATTTCTGTTAAAAGACGAAAAGCATGGTCTGTAAATGATCTGCAAGGATTAAAAGTAAGGATTAAGTTCACACCTCACCACAGTTACAGCACGCGGCGGGTGTTTGCTTTGCGGGGCTGGTGGTAAGGAGATTACATGGGCGAGTCATATTAGGATAAGTAAAATAAAAATAGCAGGGTGTATAGAAGGGAAATGGGATATTGAATAACCTAAGCTAATGCTTGCTTGGCAATAATTATGATTAATAATACAAAAATAGGAAAAGAGAACTGCAAACATGCCGGAATAAACAAAATGTGGGCGTGAAAATTAAGATAAATTCATGAACGATTGAATGTACCCACACTTTTTCAGCTGAAATTCAGTCGTTTATCGCTACTAAAAGTGAAAGTAAACTTCACTAAAGTTAACCTACAGTTATTAAACGAAGATAAATCAAATGTACCGTCTGAAGTAAAAGTTGACTCAAACTAAACTTAAATCAAAGTAAAAGCAATAAAGCTAAATAATAAGATGAAAAAGAAACTAAATTAGAACCAAACTAAGCAGTCTAAACGAAGTTAAAGTAAATCAGTTCAAGCGACCTAAAAGGGCAACCAAACCAGGACTAATATATTAGTGAGAAACTAAAAAAATATCCTGAACTAAGACTTAAACATACGAAAACTAAAGTAAACTAACTAGAATGTGACGCACTAAACTAAGCCAAACTAAGTTATTTGAAATCTATGCTGAAACTAATACATTTAATAATAAAATGAAAGCTAGTCTAAACTAAAATTGCACTCCACTAACCTCAGTGGGATTAACTGAACCCCACTAGCCATACAGAGAAGTAAACTAAAATTAAGAAAACTGAAAAAAGTAATGAGTAGACTACAGTAGAAATTAACTCAAAGTGCAAGAGTAAATTACCCTAAACTTCACTTAATTAGGTAAATACTTCACTAAATGAATTTAATAAAGCCGAGCCTAATCACATGATGCTAAAGAATTTTCATGTGCAAATTGCAACAGAATACGTACACAAGAAAACCGGCTTAAGATAACGAAATCAATAGTTAACCATGTATGCTAAACTGCTGTAGTGATGTGTGAATTGTGTCATATTACTGCACTTATACGGAGCGTTTACACAATTTAGTATGCATAATTTGCCTTAGAGCAGGATCAGCTGCTCATTTAATATCCTGCTTTGGCAAATAAAAGCTTCAGATCACACGACTATTGGCTTGGTCGATTACCTTAATGAGAGTAAGCCCACGAGGGCATTTTGTGGTTCATCAAAAAGCATTATCAAATCTCTAAACATAAATTAGAACCTCGGTTTATATTTACCAGTAAAAATAATATCTGCATATAAAATTGATTTGCTAAAAGGATTCAACTTTTCAAATGTTTAAGCTTGTATATCAGAGAATGAGGTCGCTGAATACTCACTGAGAGTTATTGCATTAATTTAGTAAAAACTCACAAACATACTGAACTGAACTATCGACCAAATACCAAATACATATTCGTGCATGAATTCTCAGCATATTTGTTTTCTTTGGCGATTGTAGTATTGGTAGGAATGATTCAATTTGTGTGCCCTAAAACTAGCGAAATATACTTTTATTATTGTGCTAAGTGAATTGCTACAAATGTTTGGCAACTTGAAATTAGACTTTACGTTTGCACATCCTACTAAAGTTAAGGCGCGCTAGAAATATATTAACACAACATTCAACTTAGTCAATTTTTTACGTTAGGGGGAGTACAGTAAGCACGGGAGTCACATAAGGCCAAACACTAGTCTTAGCTAACCAGTGCCTTATTCCCTCAATTCATTAGTGCTTCTGTGGATGTATTCCTGTCTTTCTTAACATACAATTACACAAACTATGACATATGTGATGTCCCAAGATTAAAGAACGCGCCAAGTGCAACAGCTGGCTGTATAGCTTGATTGTATCAAACATTGTGAAATTATAAGCAAATATTCCTACCATATGCTTCATGTTTTTTGCCCGAGGGGTGACATTTTGGCGCGCTTGATTGTGGTAATTTAGGAAATAGTCTCTCTCCTCCGGCTTAAGTGCGTTTACTGTGAGGATATTCAATACACATATTGTAGCCAAGATCAGGCAACAATATTTTTGTTGGTTTCCGTGCATGTCGAATACTGGAAACAAAAGAAACTTATTACATAATGCATAATACAAGATATCGATGGCGATTTCTGTATATGGAATACTAAAATGTAACGTTGACTTTTGGTGTGATTCCCAGCCAGTTGTCATCAGTTAGCTTCTTAAATGTTGAATTTACAAAGATTTCTAAAGTCCCCCTTCGAATCATGTCTACCCCAGCTCAACTGCGTCCTTGGTCTTTAATTGGTATGAATGACTTTGCCAAGTGATTTAAAGAACTACGTTGTGTACTTCCCACATTTTTACATTCATATTTATATATTCTTTGGTAAGAAACAACGCAGGTCATTGACTCTTCTTTGCATGAGTCTGATTAACACTAAAGGCATTTAAGCAGAATGATCTGTCATATTTGGCGCAAAATAATGCATGTACTTCATATTTTAAAGCATGTTGAAAACATTAGCAGTTAATTTAACGAAATATTTGTTAAAGTAAATGTGAGAGTTTTATTAGATAAAACA